CAGTTGCTTGTGGTAGATCCCACCATGGAGTTGCTTGCCAGTCTCCTCATGGGGATTAACTACCACCACCTGCCCAGCCACTCAACCAGGCCCCGCCAAGTTGACACACAAACCAAACTACCATAGAGACAGAGGGGCACTTTGCATGTCCCCACTAGCTAGGTTGGGGGTGATGATCATCATCATAATACTGGCTAAAGCTTGTTGAGTATCTATGATGTACTAGTCATTGTTCAGAGTATTTTACATGTACCAGCTCATTTAATCCTCACCACAACCCTGTGAAGTGGGCACATTTAATATTCTTGTTTTACAGACAAGGAAACCAAGGTACAGAGAAACCAAGTAACTTGGTCAAGGTCACACAATTCCTGACTAGAGGAATCCAGCCCAGAGGGCTCTCAAGCCCAAAGGAACCTTACTCCCCATTAGGAGTGGGATGAGGTATGCAAGATTTTTCTGAACTAGAGGGATCTCTGGTGGCATAATGCCTAAGGCATTTGATTGCTAACCAGAAGGCTGTCGGTTCAAACCTATGAGTCACTCCTTGCAAGACTGGGTAATCTACTTCCGTAAGATACCGCCTTGGAAACCCAAGGAGGGGTTGCTATGACTCGAAATAGACTTGACCAAAGTGAGTTTGGTTTTTTTATAGAGGGATGAGGAAAAGGGAAATTCATATGTTTCTCCAGACTACTGTGTATCACCTACAGTTAACAGTATACAATGATACAGATATTTTTGTGGGTTGCCATGTTGCTTGCCATCAAGTCGAGTCTGACTCATGGTGACCCCATGTGTGCAGAGTACAACTGCTCCATAGGGTTTTCAAGTTGACCTTTCAGAAGCACATCTCCAGGCCTGTCCTCCGAAGTGCCTCTGGGTGAGTTCGAACAACCAACCTTTCAGCTCGTAGCTGAGAGTTTAATCATTTCTGACACCCAAGGGAGCCTACATAGACAGAGGCGTAGACATAGAACATCAGCACAATCCTTACAAAAACTGGAAACTGAGCCTCAGAGAGACAAAGTATCTTATCTGAGGTCAGATATCTAAGAATTGGCAGAGTCAGGATTTACTGAAGCCAGGTCTCAGTGACCC